GCATGCTGGTATAAGCTAAATGCTAACATCCCGGTCGCTACAGTCATGCTGACTCGGCTGAAGCTGTACGTTTTCACAAGGTTTGTGCCATCGTGTGACTTAAAACATGAAAACATCACAATAAAAAAATACTTTAAGTCTTTACTCACTTGCCCTGGAAGCCATAGTAGCCCCCCAGGAGTTTCTTGTATTGCTCGTGTGAGCAAAACTGGATGGCAGCGTAGGGCATGACCCGCACCATGGTGGCAGAGTTCCCCCTCCACAGACTGAGGAATCCATCCTTCATGTACGTGCAGTAGATCACCCTGAAGGCCTCCTGCAGCACAACGTAACATTCGACGCGTTATCCGCTTAGCACGTCTGATATTTTGCCGTTACATAATAAGGTTTGTAAAGAACCTTTGTTAACATGTGGTCACAAACAGTTCTGCCCCAAAACAACGTCAGGAAAAAGTGATTAAGTTGAGCGTCTTGATGCGCAAAGTTGTTAAAAACTGGAAACCAAATTGCAGTGAACAGAGCAGTTTTCACGTTTTTATTTGTAAATACTTCTTAAATTTATGCATTCTTTTTTTTTTCTTCCACTTCAGAATTATCCAACACCTTTGTGTTGGATAACACAAAAGTTGTGCTTGAATATATTCAAACACAACTTTGTATGAAAGGTACAAATGTTAAAGCTTTTGTAAGGCTAGATAAGTAAAGAAGTGGGGAAAAAATAGAAGCATTCACTGTTTCATTATGAATCTATAAACTGTTACTTATTGCTTCAAATTGAACTTCCTTTAACATTTTAGCAAATATTCTTGAAAAATAAACTTCCGGTGTGCATAAACAGTCACGCAAGAGTTCATAACTTTCAGTATGTTTTGTACTTGAGCAGTCAATTGCCCTGCTTATCACTGCAGGTACACATAACGTGATGAAAATCTGTGTCTTATCGGTTCCTGTTCTGCAGATAAGAGAGATAAATAAACTCACCTTTGCCGAGAACCTCTTTGAAGACACTGAAAAACAACAAGAGGCACAGTGAACCACAGGGTTGAGACACACCGTCTCATGTAGGCTAAACATCTACTAAGAGGATTAGTCCACAACAGTTGAGGTGTAAACTCTGGTACGGACACAAAACATTAGTTCAGTCTACAGGAAAGTGTAAAACGTCCAAGTGTAAACCTTAGATCTGAGAGTTTGTCTTGCCTTGAAAAATGATCTTGGTGCGGTCCAGAGGTGCAATGACGGTTTTGGCCACAGCTCCAGCGAATGCTCCACACAGCAGAGAGTCCAGAGGGGTCAATCTGGGTCTCAGGTCCTGTTTGGAGACATTATCACACATTTGTGAGCTAGTGAGACAATGTTTTACAACATAAACATAAAAAAAACTACAATATAAATATGAAATAATAACACAAAAGCTATGGTATGTCTTATCTATCCTTGTGCTTTATGTGGATTGCTGATCAACGGAAACGCTCCCACATAAATTTGTCGGCTCAGGGTTGGGGCAAAGAAAAGAAAAAAAGCCACAACACGCACGTGGACGACGGGGGCACGGAAACTGAGAATCACATGAGATAAGACTGGCCCATGTATCTTAGAACATGAGCTCTGCCCTGTGTGATCATGGAAGCAGTCCTAAAGTAGGCCAGCTGAACTCAATAAACACTCCCACTGATTGATAGCGGAAGGATTTGGCTTGATAAACAAAGACTTTTCATCACCAGCAACAGAAAAACAAAGCACTTTAAAAAAAACTTGCATTTGTAATTCATATTGTTGGAACTATTCCATCATATCACTTATTTTTGACTCAAAGAACAAACAGTACTGTGAATTTAGAGCTGGTATTCCTCCTGCTTCATAATCTATTTTATAATTGTTCATTTTACTGCCTGGACCAGTTATGGTGTACGCATCTCTAATGAAATAAAAACACAAAGGTGACAAAGCAGGAAAAAAAAAAAAGAAGGGTGTGGAGAACCAGGGACACGTCAACAGAGACAAATGAAATGTAGAAATGCATTTGTTAAAGATTCACCTGTTAGGCTTTTCCTGTCCAAAAAAGGATTTACTGTTTTCTTTTAAGTCCAACTCGTGAATGTGTATTTTTATGGACAGAGGCCTGCTGCGGAGGATTAGTCGGCATCACCCTTCTATTTACAGTAGCAGGACTGTTCTGATGTTGGATGTTTACAGCCAGCGAGGAGACACTGAATGTCACAATAACACCACCATAAAGAAGAGTATGATACGAGAGGCAACACATAGTGTTAACCGCTTTTAATATACTTTTCTTTTCTTAAAGGAATCTTTTTTGGTAATGCTTACACTTTATTTGAATATATTGTTGTGACACAGTCAACCTTCCTGTTTAACACTTCAGGAGAGAATTAATTCACATTTGTGATTGTAAAAACAGAACATTTTAAATGCCTTTCCGCACCCATCTGCAGCAACCTGTCTGGTCACGTTTTAATATTGTTTTCCCTTTCCTTATTCTCACTGGCTAAGAGAGAAACACACCCAGCACGCTCACCTTTGCTTGGCTGGACGGTGGGAGGGTCAGCACGGTGGTTTGGGCCACAGGCATGCGGCCCTGGCGGTGCTCGTGCACACGGTGGGCCATTGGTGCCCCCTTCTTAGATTACCAAGGCTTGTCACACACCCGCGGTGCTCTTTCTGGACAAAACCCCACAGCTGCAGGGGAAAATGTCATACATTGGGTTAAAAATACTCCAAGCTGCTGTTTTGAGGCAACATCCTCCTCGCTGCTCGGAGTTCCTCCGTACCAGAACAACGAGTACGTGCATTCTCTCACGCCCATGTCCCCACACGAATGGTCTGCCTTGTAAACAAACGGGGTGTCACGGTGCAGAGAATACAAACCAATGTTGGTTTGTCTACATAAAGCCAAATTCATAACGATCTTGCATGAGTGATTACATGTGCCCTGGTTGTCATTTAAATACAAGACCTTAGTAGGCGCGTGTAAAATAAATGAACTGCGATTCACAGCTGTCCAATAATAATAATAATAATAATAATAATAATAATAAACAGACACTCTTCTTTTCTGCAGTGAAATCTGTTTTGGTTATTAAAACCCGCATGAACGCTTACCTTGACTGTCCCACAGCAGTCCGTGTTTACAAATAGTCGACGCTTGAAATCCTACAATGCTCTGCCGTGCTGCACGTCTCCTGTTTGTCGACAGAAGGCTCGTCACTCGAGCTTTTAAGTTGCACAGCACACGCGCCGCGATGTGTCCCCGCGTCTCCTCGCGTTGTTGACGTCTTTTATCAAGTTGAGTCGAAGAAAAGTGTCAATAAAGCTTGCAGTTTGTTTGTAAGGGTACGTGAGTCAGACAACGTTCAACTCGGAGGTGTTCCCTCTCCCCCCTCCTCTCTCCTATTCTGTGCACAGAAAGATTATTCTGGACTCTCGAGCCCCGAGCGAACGGGAACACGGCGTAATCCACTGTTTTGGACTACAATACCCAAGAGCAAACAGCATCGCATAAGCAAAGTCTCGCGAGATTATGCTCAACATTGGGTTGCCAGGTATATATTACGCTATCATATCAATCTTTTAATTAACCGTTTGTTTTAGTTTTCCATATTATCTCAGTTTGTTCTGAAATTTTGAAAATATTCATAAAATAATTTTGCAATATTTTTTTCTTCCTTTTTTCTTAGTACTTCTTACTTGCAATCTTATCACCATTTTTTTGCTCCCATCTAGTTACCCACCTGTGTGTGTGTGTGTAGGTGTGTGTGTGTGTTTCTCTTTCTGGGGTCAAACTTTAGAAAGAGCTAAATTAGAACCTCCATCCATTATCCAAACCCTATTATCCTTGCAGGGTCAAGGGCAGGCTGGTGCCTAACTATAACAATAATTGGGTGAGAGGCAGGGTACACCCTGGAGAAGTCACCAGTCAGCACAGGGCAACACAAAGATAAACTGGACAAACAGCTATGCACACACACAGCACACTTAAAAGACAATTTTCAGAGACCAATTAACCTAGCACTCATATTTTTTGGAACAGAGTAGCTTCAGTACTCGCAGAGTTAATCACCACAAAAAACAACTGCCTTTTAGAAAGTAAACCTATGGATAATTTGGCAAACTCTGAATTTTTTGCAAGAATTTTTTACTTGCCTTTAGGATCTACAGAACACAATCACATTAAGAACATCAAACAGAACTGCAGTTTATGCTTAATCCCAATCACTATTGCATGTTCATGCATTCAATAATTAAATCATAAATGACTGCAGGACTGTATAATGTAATATTTTAGGTGCCATGCATTAATACTTTCCTTGTCAAAAATATATTAGAGCAATTGTATGGATTCTCACTTTCTGGCACTAAACCTTAATAATATAATCCTGAAAAAAAAAATTGCAAAGCATAAATTAATTGCATTTGATGTCATTAACATCAGAATAACCTTATGTGGCAAGTAAGGTAAGTAAGAACAACAGGAGTAAGAAAGGACAAGAGCAGTATTTACAAGATACAGCCATCTTGTGTAGCCATTTTGTTTTTGTACACACATATAAAGAAATACAGTATTAATACTTACATGCATGCACAAGAGGAAGGGATTCTTGTTCAAATTTATCTTTGCAATACGGAAAGACATCTCAATGTCACGTTTTATTAATTTAGTACAACCCCCAATTCAGAAAAGATAAATTAACACAATTTGTTTCTTACAAAAAAATAAAAAATAAAACTCCACTGGAAAACGGACTTAGACCATCGTTTCTCTATTGGAACATAAACATGTGGATAATATTGTTAAAATAGTAGTTGGGCGTATTAAATAAAATAAATATTTTCATAATAAAATTGGATTTGACCATTTCCTGCGCTATTTTTTAATTGAAATGACTGAAAAGGACACAACTAAAGTTTTTCTTCACAATTTGGAGCTGGAAAAAGCAACTTCGATCGTAGTCTGCTCTGTTTAGCCCAACCTGGCAACCCGCGGCTCTGGCCGTAGCGCTGAAAAACTTGTTGTTGTCTGGGAAAATGGCGTCAAACGTAGAGGCCCCGGAGCGTTGGTACCTCGCCCTCCTCGGCTTTGCGGAACATTTCCGAACCTCCAGTCCACCGAAAATACGGCTGTGCGTACACTGTCTACAGGCCGTGTTTCAGTTCAAGCCTCCGCAGAGGATCGAAGCTCGGACGCATCTCCAGCTGGGCTCGGTTCTCTACCATCACACCAAGAACAGCGAGCTGGCCCGCAGCCACCTAGAGAAAGCGGTGAGGGGCGTTTGATCTGGGAAAGAGCGGGGATGCTGCAGAGAAGCGGAGGGAGTGTAGGCCGCGGGCAGTGAAAACACCGAACGGCGGAAGTGTTTAAATAGCTATTCATTCAAGAAGGTTACATTAGAAAAGAGGTTCTGATACGTGTTCAAATAATTTTGGTACAAAGTGTGTCGTTGTTTAAACCCTGTTCAACCACTTTACGCTCACGCGCTGGTTTTTACCAAATAAACTGCTGGTCAAATATTTACGCCCAGAATGTTGGTTGACAATATTTTGTCTCCTTTTTTGCAGTGGTTTATATCTCAACAACTTCCTCAGTTCGAAGATGTCAAATTTGAAGCTGCGAGTATTCTGTCGGAACTATTTTGCCAACAGGTAAAACATATAAAGACTTACTAAGATACTATTATGGTAAACAGAAATAAGAGTCGAGCCATACTTGTGCTTTTCAAAGACATTCACAAATGATTGTTATATTTGAGGGGGTGTTATTATGAACTGCTAACTGCCCGCATGTAATACATTTTCAGAATTTGGTGGACTCTGCAAAGCCCCTGCTGCGTAAAGCCATTCAGATTTCCCAGCAAACACCATACTGGCACTGCAGACTGCTGTTCCAGTTAGCGGTATGTATTACTTAAGTGGTATTAAAGTTTTCCTATTGAAAATGCACTGATCGCAGTTTTTGTGGCCGATTTCTTATCACCATCTTTTTTTTATTTCACATGCTAATGCAGCTGATAGTCCGATTCTACTTTTGCTGGTTCATATAAATAGCAAATTGATCCGTCTTAACATGAAAATGTTTATATTACTCACATATGCTCTTAATAAAGCAAGCACTCAAAACAAATCACATTGTACCTTTCTCAGTTGCCGCATTTCTGGCCCACTGTTGGTACACATGTACACCCTCCAACCCAGTAGGCGGCAGTAATGTACCTAATGCTTGCTAAGCTATAAAGAAGTTTCACAAGATGTGTTGATGTGTGGTATTTTGGTTAAAAAAAACAACTACATAGACTAATTTTAATTTGATTTTTAAGTGTGCAACACAAGTTTACATAAGTTAGTTTACATAAACTAAAACAATGGTTTTCTCAAGAATGGTTTGAAAATACCAAACTCTCTGTACGTCACAAAAAAATACAACATTAATTCATGGTAAATCCAAAAGAAGCCATCAGTAATGTTTTTTTGGTCGGGGTGGGTTTGGCATTAATTATTCCCATTATCAAATGAGACAGTGTCACACTGCGTGGGGTGGGTTACATACTTCTGAAGTTAAATAGGACTGTACAGAGATATAAAACTAACTTATATGAACTTAAATATAAACTATGATTTGCTGTGTGGATGTGTCTTACCAATATGTGATTCCGCTAGCATTACCTTTAGGAACGTCAAAGACTCAAAAGATAGCTTACTCTTTTTCTCTCATCAACAATTGTGTTGTTGTCAATGTGACCTGTTAGCACCTGTGTTTTGGTGCATTCACTAACTGTGTCTGACCTGCCTGTCGCCGATCAGGGCCACGGAATATTAAAATTATCAGATTTATTCTTGCTTTGTCTCTTTTTTTATATATTATTATTATTTCTTTTGTTTTAGTTGGAGAACAGAGTTAGACTTGCTGCATTTGGATTCTAGTTGCTTGAAAGTTAATAGTTGCCTGTATTGAGATGTTAAGGTTGTTTTCTTATCTCTTTTCAGCAACTTCATACTCTGGAGAAAGACCTGGTGTCAGCATGTGACCTTCTGGGAGTTGGGGCTGAGTATGCCCGAGTCGTGGGTTCAGAATATACCAGGTAAACATCTCTGTCATTTGCAGTTTGCATGTTTAAAGCGTTACCTGGATGACATAGGGGGGGAGGGGTGTGACTATTATAGGATACCTAAACCAAAATGATCATTTTGTCCCGTTGACGAAAAGTAACTCTTTGCTGCAACTCCAACTGCTCTACTTGTGTGATTCGCTTCACCTGAATTTGTTATGTATTGGCTATTGCACACTAAATAATTAAGGGGGAAACCTCTTCAGGCTGTTTTTAGGTTTTATTTTTAATGTATGTGAAGCTGATGCGAATAGACTTTTAAATGTGACTATGTAAAACTTAAATAAATATAACATACTACATATAATTTTACAACATGGCGCAACCGAAATGTGTGGAAAATGAAGCTACTACTTTATTGCCGGACAAGTTTCCACTGCAAACAAATCAGTAAATTGATTTTAATTTTAAATGTACTAAGATTACAAATATCCTGTTTTCTTATTAAATAAGGCTTTTATTTGTGCTTGGAACTCTTATTAGTTGAGATTTGTATCTAACAATTAAGATTACATGGTATTTATCTGTAATAATTTGATGTGAACGTTGACTTAATTTTACTTTTTGCACTTTTTTAGGGCTTTGTTTCTTCTTAGTAAAGGCATGGTAAGTTTTCTCTCTCTATTTTTCTCTTCTCTGTAGCTAAGTTTTATCTTCATGTCTTCATATCTTTTTTTTTTTTTTCTACATCTGCCACGAGGAAACCCGGCGTTAACTGTTTTAGTAATTCGTTTTGACCTGGGGATGTTTTCTAACCTTCCAGTTGCTGCTAATGGAGAGGAAGCTTGGCGAGGTGCATCCTCTTCTCACACTGTGTGGAACTATAGTAGAAAACTGGCAGGGAAACCCCATCCAGAAGGAATCGCTGAGAGTCTTCTTCCTGGTACTACAAGTCACACACTACCTGGATGCTGGACAGGTAGGATGGGTGATGACGAAGTTATTTTTTTTTTAGATTTCTAAAGCGGGATGAGGATGGATGTGTAAAAGTTGACAGGAGTGACTACATTGCTTTTCTTTTTTCTTTTCTTTTTCAGGTAAAAAGCGTGAAGCCGTGTCTGAAGCAGCTGCAGCAGTGCATTCAGACTATCTCTACACTCCAAGATGATGAGATTTTACCCACCAACCCAGCTGACCTCTTCCACTGGCTGCCCAAGGAGCACATGTGTGTCCTCGTATATCTGGTAACGCTGATTTTCTTTCTTTCTTCCTTTCTTTTTTTCTGTTACTCCAAAGCTGTGTGCTTAGTTTCAGCAGAAGTCTCAAGCAATAGTCAAACCTGAACAAACATTAATTTAAAACTATTTAATTGTGCAAAAACATTGAATCAGAAACACTCTGTTTTTTTTGTTTTTTTATTTTCATTTTCCAGGTGACAGTCATGCACTCCATGCAGGCGGGCTACTTGGAGAAAGCCCAGAAGTACACAGACAAGGCTCTTATGCAACTGGAGAAACTCAAAAGTGAGTTTTTGAGTATCACTCTGTGGCTAACTTAATCAGCTTTGCTCTGTAAACTGTCCAGAAATCACTAAACGGTGCTGTTTGTTTTTGTTGTTTTTTTTACCACTAATCAATTTATGTCAGTGTTGGACTGCAGCCCCATCCTGTCTACCTTCCAAGTCATTCTGCTGGAGCACATCATCATGTGCCGACTCGTCACGGGCCACAAGGCCACGGCATTGCAGGAGGTACGTTGTTTCTATTCCTGTCACCATCCCTGCAGTTTATATTTAAATACGTGCCATCTTAAAAAAAAAAGGCTCATATGGAACATTTGAAGCTCAGTTAGTTCTTTGTGACTTGAAGAAGTTTTAAGTTTTTCCAGCTTCTAACCAGAAAAAACTCACCTTTATAAACAAACTGAAACATTTTAAAAGGAAATGAAAAACAGGGGGAAATAATAATAATGATGTGTTTGCACACCTTAATGAAGACTGTGCTGAGAATTAACCACTACATCTGAACTCAAAATACACAGGAGCCATTTCAGCTGGCTATGATTACCTCCAAATGATTATTTTATATATAATAATTATTTTAATTTCCAAGGGATTGGCTGTAATATGAAGACTGGGACTGGGGGCGGGGGACACATTTGAGGGATTCTAGAAGCATTTGCAAAAGTCTATCAAAAGTCAAATGAAACCAAGTTTGTTTTTTTTCTTTTTCTTTTTTTTTTGTTCATAATTCCAAAAAGGTATGTTTGGTGCAGAATTACTCTTTACAGGAGTAATAATGGATGCCGCTGTCTACGGATTGATTTTTAAGTTATTGAAAAATGGGAGCAAGATCACAACAAGACGGAGGAAGGAAAGCACATCTAATCCAGATTTGCTGCATCTGGCTTTTTCTGGTGCAAAACTATGATACAATATGGCCGTTCATA